TGGTGGTGTCATTCTTTCTGGATCGCCAACACCTGAAAACAACAAACATCAAAATAAAAACCAAACATAAAACCATATTCGCAATAATGAAATGAAAAAAAAAATTTACCAATATCGCGCGCTACAAAACGTCCTGATTCCAGTATAAGCGCTTCCTTGAAAATTTCATCTGCTTTAGGACTTGATATTAGCACCGACAAATTTGAAATTAACTGTTTTTTGTTAGGAAGGTTTTCTCGTTGTTGAATTGGCTACGACAGATAAATTCTTTTATGAGAAACTATTTTCTTTAGCTACTTCTGGATTAATTACTTACCACATAGAGTTCTTCTAAAGCACCTAACACCGTACAAAGTTCGGTATTCACGAATTTTTGGCTTTCAGGCACTAGCAACAACGGCGCTTTAAAGCCAGCCTTTGGAAAGAAGTAGAAAATTAGTTTCTATTTATAAAAGACAATGGAATTCATTTGATCTTACCTTAATGGCACGTTGCATGGAACTGGCTGCTGCTTGCTGATATATGCGTATGTCGTGATAGTCGGTCAACTCGGGTACTGGCGCATAGACTACAGGCATGTTCAGCTTTGATGACTTGAAGCAAGAGACCATAGAGTCGAAAGCTTTGTCGAATGAACGAAACTCGTTGAATTGTTCTACTAATTCAGATGGTATTTGACGATCTATGATACACAGCACATCGCAACCAGACTTTTGTATCATTCTAGCCAGCTGCACGGAACATGGTGCTAACCTGCAGACAAGCAATAAAGAAGGTAAAGATTATAGTATAAAATTATTTCTGTAAATATATTTATTTTATTTTATTTATATATAATAAATTTTTAAATTTATAATTATATGTATAGAAAATGTATATATCCTATATAAGTATCTACAGCGTAACAATGTGTATATTATACTCGAGCATATATATTTATATAATATATTCATTATTTTAAGACTATGTACTATAGTCTACAGGTACATTCTACAGCGCGCCTGTAATATAATTTAATCTACCGTTTTCAATTGGTTAATCTGGAGTAACTTTTTCAATCGAGACTCACTTTTAATTCAATTTTCATTTTCGATTGATAAATCTCGAGCAAAATGTAAAAGACTCTAGATTAATTTATAACAATCTAGATATTTTGCCAGAGTAGCAAGATTGCACTGAAATGAACAGCTGTTGTATATGAGTTCATAAATAAAGTGTGATTTGATTCGTTAAATGTTTTATAAATGTCTACTAACACTACTACAAACATGTTAGTTTACTCTAAAAATGTTCGATCGGGCAACAAAATTTGACAGATCGAGAGTAAATCTAGATTGAATTCAGATTTACAAATCGAAAACGTCCTTAGAAATACCCTTATAAACACTGTAATGTGTTTACTCAGCTAAAGTATTTCAAATAGTAAATTAATTAATCAACATTTTCATTAGTGTTTATACAGACTAGGGGCGCACTGTAATACCTTTCCTTCCCTTATAGAACTCTACTAAATCATTTAGTTAAAACGAAATGCCTTCCAAGTATAAGTTTTATTAAATAAACTTTGGCCAATTCTATCAATTCCTTAAATTAAGTTCAGTTAAATATAAGTTAAGGGACTCTTATAACTTTTAGACCCACAGTCCCATACTCAAGACCATTTTTCAACTTAATTGAAAATAGTTGAGTTCTAGGTGCCATATCGATATAGTAAAAATATTTCTGTATATAAAATACACAGATGTGTTCGTATTTTTTCAATTCTATGAAAATTGTTGATAAGAGTTTATCACGTTTTGTTTATTATTATTATTGTTGTTGCTTTTCTTATATATTAATTAATATTAATTACAATAGAAGCGTAGTAAACAAACAACAAATGAAAAAATATTAGTATAGTAATATGTTAATAAAAGTGAAAAAATATTGAAAAGTGGGCGTGAGAAACAGAAAATGTGATGAACTCTTTGTGAAATGCTATAAACTAAAAGGCAATAAAATATTATTTAACAAAATTTGTTTTTTATTTTTAATTATTTTTATTTTATTATTTTTCTACGCGAGTATTATTAGTTCATTATAAATACTTTTACTATATCAAATACACTTAACACGAAAAGCAACTACTCGTGAGGGAAATTTAGATATAAGAATCAGTTTTAGATTCAAGCATTCACTTGCTCGAGTAGTGAACTACAACAACAAAAATTCTTTTTTATATTATTTTAATTAATTGAATTTTTGGTTGACCATACACCTATTTCGAGTATTGTCAAATACTCATCATCAGTGGTCTTGGAAATAATTCTCGTATTTCATTATACGTAAATAATTTTTTGAGACTGCAAGTACCAGGAATCGAACTCGTACCCTACTAAATTTAAAGCTCAAAGTCAGCGCTCCTTAACCAACTGACTCAAAGCCGTACTTGACTTTTTATGTTCGCACATTTTTTTGGAGTTTTGTTAATTTGTTGGGAATGTATGCATGTATGTATGTGCTGTGTCTGTATTATATATATAATACAAACAACAATAACAACTGAAAATGTTTTTTAAATCTTTTCAAGAAAATTATACGAACTATTAAAACAAATGATGGTATGCACAAGATAATACTGGATTCACACAAAATTTTTGTTTGTAATTTCAATTATCAAAAGTTTTCATTTTACATTGAAAACAACAACAATTGACAGCTAAAATTACAAACATGACAGCTGCAATTACAAACAAAACTCTCGTGTGAAGCCAGCATAAGATATAATAACAGTTAAAATAGAGTTACACGTTTGATAAAAAAATATAGAGCAGTTAAAAAAAGTAAAAGTCATTTCTAGCTCCTCACCAGTAAGAATAATTTATAAACTAAAGGATATAAGAATACATATACGACCATATATGCACGAAGCAAGTGATTACTATTTACAACCAATTATGCTGGCTGGACCATATTAAAGTCTTATGTTTCCTATAGTAATAAATAATATATCAAATTGATTTTTAACGTCCGTTTTGACGAAAGAAACTAAATTTTTAATGTAAACTATTGCTTTCAACCTCTCAAAAACCTCTCTAGTTTTTATTGAACAGTAGTGAAATTGGAACAACAAAACTTTATTAAATTATTTTTAATTAATTGAATTATAGGCTGACCATAGAGCAATACCTATCATCAGTGGTCTTGCAATTATTTTTTGCTATTAATTATTCGTAATAAGTTTTGATCTTGGAATTATATCTTATATTTAATTATTCGTTAATAATTATTTGAGACTGTAAGAACCAAGGGTTGATCTCGTAAAATGGAAAAAATAAATACATTTATACTTGATTACAATTTATAACACTATTTATAAACACTATAATTATACTATGAGTATAATTCACTACATAGCAATAACTAAAATTATTGATATATAAAATATATCATATATATATATATAGGCATATATTTATATACACATATTATCTTGCATTAATTATAATTATTTACATAAAATCAAACTCATTATATATATAGATTTGTTGTGTAGTAATTATGATCATAATATAGGTGACCCACACCTCACTATAACAATTTTCCTTCAGATATTTCTATCAAGTACTATAAATAACTAATCTACCACCCAGTCACTTTCCCACGTATTTCATCACTCATTGAAAACTGCAGATACGTCATTATCTGAAATCTGATATATATTGCACTATATACACCACTCATAGTAAGTACAAAAATATGTTATAAATTAAATATTTCATAATTTTATATCAAAAGCTTTTCTGGTTTGTATTTCATAAAAGAGTTTATCGTTATCTGAGGATCAATTCAACAACAGTTCGGGTTTACCTACGATCATTTTAGATTGTTTATTATTATTAAGATTAGAAAGAAGTGTTCTAGTAAGTCTTATCTTTACATGCAGCATATGCTTCGAAGGCAGTTCTGTTGCTGGCTTGATAGCTTTATCTTGCAATAAATTCATATTTTTAAATACAATTGCAAAACAACTGATTAATGTTATCAAGTATAAAAGAAAGTATATATAATATACATAAAGATTTTCTTATTGACATGTATCTACAATCTAGAATATAGCCATGCATTTTCAGTTCAAGAATAACGCTTAGGAGTCATTAATACATATAAACTTGGATAAGATGATTCTTTTATCTTTAGATATTTTTATCTGATTTCTTTCTATATTATATGTACTTTATAAATATACAGAATATATTCTGAACTATCAGTTATTAAATAATAAAATGTGTATTCAAAGAAATATATTTATTTTAGTGTAATTGGAATATATCAAATGTCTTTATTATAGCTTAATCCTAATGTGATAGATAGGCCTTAGAGTTCTAAAAAATAGTAGATCTGTTCAAGTCTCCAATGTACCTAATAGTTAATCTAATAGCATAAATAGTTGATAGCTAATAAATATTAGATTATTAAAATTTATTAAGAAATATAAAACGAATTTAAGTAGATTTATTTTTAAAGTTAGTTCTCATCTTAGTAAAAATTTTTCCGGCTTCGCTTTGGCATTTAGATTTGAAATTGCATCTTCAACGCAATTGCAAATTTATGAAGTCAAAACATTCAATTTAATTTAATTTATTTGCATTCATCGGAGCAAATTGTGACATTGAATTTTAGCACGGAAGTTCACTGGAATCTATTCTTATGTAATTTTTATTATTTTTAATTGAATTAAATTTTTTTTTTATTAAACACAACATTTCGAACTAAAGGATGACATTTTTAGAAAAAAAATATTTCCAATATAATTTTAAATCTGCAGTCAAGCACAGACCTAATAGCTAGTACATAAGACATATTATTATATTTTGAAAAAAAAAATTAAATCTGTTTTAAATATATTAAAGATATATGAATATCACAAATCAGATACTTCCTAGGTATCTACAAGCTATTCAGTACATATAAATTTATCTTACCTATATATGAAAAACATTTAGATGGCAATATGGTCAAGACTAAATAAACCAGTGGCGTTTTCATGGGTTCTTTTCTTATCGTCTTGGATATATAATATAAATTATAATTTAATTAAATGAGCCTTAAAAGCACTACCAACAAAAATATTTCTTAGTACACTATCCAATCCAATGGCTCCACCACAACAGAGTGAAGCTATAAAATTCTTGTACATGGACCGAGGTTAGATGCAACATCCCTACCTTATCCGTACTCATACTTTACTGTGTATCACTTCCGTCATCCTATCCCATTGTGCAATGCTTCGTGAACCTTATGTGTACTTTCTTTTAGGTCGGCATTTGGCTACAACAACAGCCACAACTTACCGGAGCTCTACATCTTAGACAACCAAGCGCAGCTCAGCACTTTCAACAGGAACTTAGAAAACAGGTTTACTGCCTTACATATTTGCTGCTTTCGTTACAGTAATATGACGAAGAAAGGCTTATATTGCTAAAGTACCAACTCCTACCGGACACCCACATACAAATATGATTTCATGTAAAGTATAATTTAGATATAACACAAATTAAGATATAAAATTGGAAAAATACTACTGGAGAGAGTACAATAAGATTAAAGATTTTGACTAGCAACAAAAACAAAAAAGAAAAATGGTAAAAACTTTTGCTAAAAAAAATTACAAAAGAAGAAATGGTTAAAATTTTCTGGCAGACGAACATATCAGTCAGTTCCGCAGTTTGAGCTATAAACGCTCAAATAACTATTAAGCTAAGTAGTTTAGTATCAATTTCATGAACTGAGACAAATTTTAGAAACCCTAAGCCCCTAATGAAGTTTAAGTATAATATATTATCATACAATGGAAGTTCAAAATAACTATCCACACAAAACGCTGTAAATACATAACTTATATGATCTATTATGAGAAAATACAACAGGAATATGACATAGATTGCTATTCAAATAACAGCCAAAATCATATCCATTATAATTGCGATCATTTAAAAAATATTTTCTATAAATGAAAAACGTTAAAAGCCCGAATTCCCGAGTTCACATTAAAAATATGGATATTTATGATCTTGAAGTCATTCACTTTTAAAATCAAGACACTTTCAAAAGATTCAAATCGTTTAACGACATGAAACCACTGATCAGAAATATAAACTGTTGATAAAGAAGTTTTTGAAACCCTTAGCCTCTAATGTAGTAGTGATATAATAACATTACAACGGGAGACAATTGGTCAAAACCTATTCGCAAAGAAATTTTGTAGACCCTAAACTTCTAAAAACGGGTGGAAGCGGCTTATAGACAGCCTATGCCCAGTATAAGAGGCTGCTCGAAATCATAGACGTCGAGCAAAGCGTATTATGATTAAACTTCTAATAATATAATAATAGATAAAAAAATGTCTATATGAGAAAGCCAAGTAAGAGGCTGACATAAAAACTGCCTTTGTAAATAGTAGACCATAAATAATAGATGAGTCAGCTATTACATAGCATATAATATATGTAATATATATATATAATATACATATAATATAATATATAATACAATATATATAATATGTATATGCATTATATATATATAATATATAAAACATGTATATTATATGTATAATATACATACATATAATGGTAACCATAATGGATATCCATTAGATCTGCGAATTTATCTAGAATGATAACTAGTAACTGATGTTACTAATAGTACCCAGAATTAATTTTCTTATCATATTAAATATCACAAAACCTCTTTTATTAAACAGTTAAAAATTTGTTCCGAGTTCATTTTCTTATAAAACATTTTTAATTATTTTCATAAGGTAATTATCTTATTTATATTATCTAAATGAAGCATGGCACATAATATTGAGATAAGTGAATCGCAAGGTCCACTGAACTCAAATTAGCCGTTAAATTATCTACTACTTTTTTTTAAAACATGTATATATATATTTAATGTTTAATTAAATAAATCTTTAATAAGTCAGTAACTTATAGTTTTTATTTTATTTAAATAATTTTATTTTATTTAAAAAAAAAGAACCGATTTTACCGCTAAGAAATATAAATTTAAAAAGAATTCGTAATAAAAATTACAGTTGAAATTCCAAAAACAATTTCACAGTCTTTATAGAAATTAATTATCTCAACTCTCATTATTTTTTTTTAATAACAAATTTTAACTAATAAATAAAAGTAATAAAAAAATAATAAAAAAAAATTTATTATTTTTTAAATAATTTTTTCTCATTCAAATACAGACGCCAAGAAAAATTCCAATTAGAATTTATAATTCTGTTTAACTCAATTTCATCATTCAATATAAATTCTAATTAGAAATTTCAAACAGTAAACTCAACAAAAAAGTAACATTAAAATTGAAAGGGAGGGAGTGAGTGCATCTAAAACTCATTGTAATTAAAATTTTAAAATAAATTCTTACTTATCAAGTCCCATTTTTGAGTTGTTGTTTTTTGCAATATCACTGAAGTCAGAATATTCGTTTTTTTTTTTTGTGTTTAAATCAAAAACAAGCACTTGAGATCACAAATAAAAATTCTACCAATACTCGATGCCGGTCGGAAGGCAACTGAATTTCTTTTCGACCAAACGAGTTTTAAAAGTCGCAAACCCGATTACCGATAAGTGCAACAAAGCTACAGCTCTCCGCTTATATATCCGCGCCGCACTTGTATAAATTGTTTAACTTTATTCCGTCTTATCAAATTGTTTGTTGTTGTTTTTCTTTTGTTTTTTTGTTTTTTGTTTTCTCCAATATTTGCAGTTAATTTTGCTCATGCACACACAATGAGTAATAATATAATTATGCAGAAAAATACTTGCAATGCATCCAAAGTCTGATGTTTTTATTAAGTTTTAGCGGCTATCACGCTCTCGACGTGTTGTCCGCGTCAAAATCAGCTGTTTTGCGCAGTGAGATTTTGTTTTGTGTTTTTGCGATATTAACACACAAAGTAAAATCTAATACTAGTGATGTTAACTTTTGGTATTCGGTACCTGATCAAGTTACGTGCGCAGTTACCGAATAACCTAGTTAATGAATTAGCAAGGAAACTGATCTGATAATTGTTTTGGTATACAGTGATTAGTATCATTGTAAAGTTGAAGAAGAAAAGAAGAAATTATAATAATTTATTTTTCATAAATGTTGGAAAATATAATATATAAAATAAAAGAATTTAAAAAAATAATACATAAATAAATAAATATTGATGGAAATAAAAAATTAAATAATAATTAATTAATAATTTATTTACATAGTTGTTGGACAAAATACTAACTAAATGTCGGGTGATAATAAGAAATAACACAATTTAAAAAAATAATGCATAAATAAGTATTGATAGAAATAAATAATAAAATGATAATTAATTAATTAATAATTTATTTTAATAGATATTCGAAAATATCAACTTAACGTCGGGTGATAATATAAAACAATAATAATGTAATAAAAAAATTTTTATTGTTTTAAATATGATAATACTTAAAACTTAATTAGTCTAAAATCTTTTAAATAAAAGATTTTTTATAAAAATCTCATGTCACTGTATTCGCACAAGCTAATCTCTGAAACCATCGAATTTCTAAAGAAATTTTGTGAATACGTATAATTGGTTCCCGCTTGAAAAATAGATAAGTGTAATGAAAATGATACGCATTGATTGATTATTGACTAATGTATTCTATCGAATGCTCCTGTCTCCAAGAGCAGCGCAGCATACAAAAACAGCTCAAAGTGCTTGATGTCATTATTGCAAAATTAGCAATTCACGCTGTTGCGTATATAGTGTGGCTTAAGAATAAGTGAATAACACTTTTCGCAAGTGGACCACACACGAAATGAGTAGCGGATGTATTTGTTTATATTATGTATACTGCATTACTTGATCTGAAAGCTGGCGCTTTTATAAATGAAAATAAAGTTAGTGCAGCTCTGGCTACTTGTGGACTATTGGTTTCTTAGCCCTAGTTGTTGTTGGAATACGAGTAACATACTTATTCTAAGCCTAGTCTTCAATATTACCCATAATTACTTTTCTACTTAATACTTTAAGAAAATATTATTGTTCATTGTATATTATTGTATGTATAGCTGTTGTCAATTAATCAAGAAAAATATATGATGTAATTTGTATCTACCATATCATAAAACATTACTTATGACTATCGTTGTTCATTAGTCGACTAGACCCCTTATATTTGATTCATCGTGTTAAATTTGCATTTGTTGGTATTGTAGTTATTGTTTTTTTTTACCTAGAGACATCGATAACTTTGAAATGATGTGTAGAATCTAAGCAGTGTGCTAAATATATATATACTTCTAGTAATGGGCTACATATTTCTAGTGTTGTGCTGCTGACATGAAATTTTTGTAGGTGTACGAACTACGAACTTCGAATTTGTAAAAGAAATTTTCAATTGTTTTTCTTTTCTATAAACAATCTATTGCTTTGAATTCATTTGACACTTTTCGTTAGTCTGATTTCCTCTGTAGGATTACGAAAAACACTGCGAAGAGCATTACGATAAGAATTTCGAAAATTTACAATCATGCTTTAATAAGACATTTTGTAGATTTTAATAGCTGATTCCAAACAGTCATCCATTTATGCAGCGTATGCACCGCTTTTAACCCATTAGAACCATTACATTCTTTATATGACCTATAATGGTCATCCTATACTGAATTAACCATAATGTGTAGATACTATTATTATGAAAGCAAAACCTTCGTCTGATGGCTAATTGTTATGTTTTTTCACACAGGCAGAGGTGATTCGCAACTGATTTTCACTAATAATTCAGAACTGGATAGACAACAATTGATAATACTCTAAACAGCTGTGTGGTCAGCTAAAAATTCAAATAATTAAAATAACCAAAAATTTTGTTGTTGCAGTTCACTACTGTTCGAAACCTCTCTATAGGTAATGAATATGAATATATTAAGAAGCCACATGATGATCTCTCTGACGCCAAAGATTTTAATAAACTGATATTATTCCTGTTGAAGCTGTATTTGAAGATTAATGATATTCCTTGACTTTTCTGCTCCTTTACATTTTTACTTGTTCCGTTAGGTGTGCACAAAAGATAAATCTGATCGCAGTGCTCCGCTCCGTGGGGAGCTAGTACCCCGTTCATTTCTAGGTGCGCCTTGTTTTATTCACATTGATAAATCCTGACAATCTATATTAAGCGCAACTAAAGAACTTTTGGAATAACTATCTACTTTATATAGTCTTGATAGTCTGGATACTTTAACATTTATGTACTTGATGATGGTTTCAATAGGAAGATCTCTATGAATATCAGAGTTTCTGACACACCAAGGAGTTTTAGATATCTTCCTTAAGGTTATATATTCAAATTCATGCAGTTCCGCAAAATTGAATTAAGCAACCTTACTAAAAACGACGCATCCATAGAGATTTTTGCTTTTGAAGAAAGTTTGAAACTGATTCAAAATTTGTGTACGGATTACGTTCCTTGTTTGGAAGGAAGGTATGTGCTATATAGTATACGGAATCCCACAT